AAAAAAAAAAAAAAACTATAAAAAAAAATCATTAGGAGACAATTATAGAAACATGACCACTGGCCAGACAATTCTTCAGGCTGGAAATGGTATTGTGACCATTCCTTTTCACATCCTTATCTAGTGCTGCCCAGTGAAGCGTTTAGGCCTGGGACTGGCTTCATCCACCAGCATGGGAGATGCAGGGTAATCCGCCTTGGGCAGGGTCACCACACAGTGCTCTCCATTTTCAAGTATCCGAAATTTCTAATTAACAACAAAACAAAGCAAAAAAAAAAAAAGTGAATTCTAGGTCAAAGTTATTTAAAACAAAAGTGAGAAAAATTAGGCCAGATCTTGCCTCCTCCTCAGCAGCTCCCATCTAAGAGCAGAAACCCAAGTCGTCCTCCATGGTTGCCCAGCCCTGCAGGAAGGCTGTGCCCACTCCTGACCTCTCTGACCATGTTCCCTGCTCCTAGATGCCACAGACTCCCTGCACTCAAACCTTGCCAGCATGTCCCTGGAGCCCTCTACCCATCCCTGCTCTACTTTTGTCCCTGTTAGAAGCAGCATCTGACATGCTTGGCAATACTGATACCTGCCAAGTGAGAGGTGCACACTGCAGCCTGCCCTCATACCAGCTGATCACAGAGGGGAAGGTGCCCAGCTCTTGGCCACCAGGCTGGCACTTCCGCCCTACACCAGCCGCTACCGACCCACTGGGCTGCTTTCTCACTGAAACTCACTCACTCATTCACCTGTGAACCTGGCACCGACTTGGGCCAGCATGGGGGCCTGGCCTTACATGCCTCAGGATCTCTCTGGAATACACGTTCTCTGTGAGCAGGGACAGCAACTTAAACCATGGTGTCCCCATGGCCAAAGATCTGGGTCACACCCACAGGATCAAGAGTAAGGCCTGTGCCAGATGGGAGGGGCAGGCAGGTCACCTCAGCTTGGGTATCTCTGCCCACGAAAAAATAGAGGGTGGGCAGGGGAACATATAGCAGGAGGAACAGGCACTGGGCAGGGCTTTGTGAGTAGCAGCAAAGAGAAGCCTGAGCCAGGATCTGCCTGGCAAATCCCTCTGGACCAGCTGCCCCTGTGGCCGGGATGCCACCCTGGCCCCTAGGCTGAGCAGGGGCTGCCGGCAGCAGTGAATGGACCACAGTCTCAGATATTGGCTGTGCACCACAGAGCCCAACTGTGCCCATCAAGGCCACCAGCTGCTCACAACACCTTGCCCACACATGTGAGAACAAGTGCCCCACGTCCAAGGCTGCATCCCCACGCCAGCTCAAAACTATTGGGCTGAGAATGGTGCTTGAGAAGAAATCATACAGCACCTGGGGAGAAAGCAAGTAAAGCCAGTGCCTCACTTGATCAGAAAGGACAACATGTATGTGAGACAGGAAAGAGCTGGGCTTCTGGTCTTGGCTGCAACGGTGTTACTCACCCTCGCTGTTCTTGGCAAAGTTCAGCTTGATCAAGGACCTCCCATCCAGTTTCTGGAAGAAACACAATAATTAGTAACACACAAGTGGCTGATGTAAAGAGATGCTGGGTACAAGGCTGGGAAGACAGATGGAATGGTCTCCACCAGCCGACTCTGCAGCTGCAGGACCCCGTGACAGCCTCACAGGGGCCTGCAGCAGGGCACCCAGCCAGCTGTTTATTTATGCAGCCCCTGTCTGCTCCCCACCAGCTCAGAGAAGAGTGTCAAGGGTTGACCTGAGAGAGGATACGGCTGCAGGGTGCATGTGTGTAGTACACTTCTGCCATATTTGGACTTTTTTTTTTTTTTTTTGAGATAGCCTCAAGCTGTTGCCCTGGGTAGAGTGCCCTGGCATCACAGCTCACAGCAACCTCCAACTCCTGGGCTCAAGTGATTCTCTTGCCTTCGTCTCCCAAGTTGCTGGGATTATAGGCACCTGCCACAACGCCCAGCTATTTTTTGGTTGCAGCTGTCATTGTTGTTTGGCGGGTCCAGGCTGGACTCAAACCCGCCAGCTCAGGTGTATGTGGCTGGCGCCTTAGCTGCTTGAGCCACAGGCACTGAGCCTTGGACTTTTTTTTTTTTTTTTTTTGAGACAAGCTTGCCCTGTCACCCTGGCTGCAGTGTAGTGGTAGCTCACTGAAGCCTTGAACTTCTCGGCTCAAGCAATCCCAAAGTGCTCAGCCTCCCGAAGTGCTGAGATTACACGTGTGCCCGACAACACATGGCTATGTGTGCACATTTTTATGTGAGCAGAGATTACTTCTCAAATTAAAAAAATGAATGTATTTCTTCAGCTATTGGAGGGTATGCAGGTGTCCAGACATTTTGTCATACAAATATTTAAGAAAAATGAGACATTATTAAAAGGAATAAATATATTCAAATGTTAAGAGTGAAGAGTGGTTGTGATGAGAAAGCAGTATCTTCTACACCAGTATTTTTATTTTTCCTTTTTTTATTTTCTCAAGACAGGGTCTTATGATTTTGCCCAGGCTGGAATGCAGTGGCTATTCACAGGTACAATCATGGCATCCTGGGCTCAAGGATCCTCCTGCCTCAGCCTCCAAGTAGCTAGGGCAATATGTATGTGTCACCACACCAGGATAATTTTTCTGTTTTCTGGAGAGATTAGGGTCTCACTATGTTGCCCAGGCTGATCCAACTCCTAGCCTCAACTGATCCTCCCACCTTGGCCTCCCAGAGCACTGAGATTATAGGCAGCCTGCACTTCCATCACACTGTCCCCTCAGCCTCAGACACTCCCCCTGACAACCCCAAGTAGCCACTGCGAGTTGCTGCTCCTGTGAGGTCAAGACATCCTTTCGACCTCTTCGGTTCCAACACCACCCACAGGGGACTCCTCACCATATCCAATCCTCTGAACTGCCAGGCACTGACAGGAACTTCCTCTTGTTAGTACAGACCTCATGGGCTAAGGGTTGAGTCCATAGACTGTCCCCACTGCAGACACCAGCTGTAGATTTGGCCTCCTGTAATTCTGACTGCTAGGCTATAAATCTGGGTTCCCATGACCACCTCCTCAGGTTCAATAATTTGCAAGAATGATTCACAGAACTTGGAAAACCCTTCACTTGTCAGATAAAGAGGTATACAGGGCAAGGTACAGAAAGGCCCTGCTATTATATACAAGAATCTCACTTTACCTTAAAGGATAAAAATAGACTCAGGGTGAAGGAATGGACTTATATAATATAGGCAAATGGGCTCGACGCCTATAGCTCAACCGGCTAAGGCGCCAGCCACGTACACCTAAGGTGGCGGGTTCGAATCCCCAGCCCGGACCCGCCAAACAACAATG